TACTATTACATTGCCACGTGCTACTTGTTCAATATTATTTGTCAGTTTTTTGGAAGTGTGTAATTCATTCATTGAAAGTAGAATTTCATTTTTTTTTTCAAAAAGGAGTCGTATGTCATATCAGAATTATGGTGAGTAAACATTTGCTTTCAATATGTTTAATGTTTAACCACAATCCAGTCCTCTTTACCTCGAATGCGACCTACCGAATTAGACCTATCACCGAAATTGATCGTATATGAGCAACACGACGGGTGACATATGTGAAGCAAGATATGCTTACCCTTCCGGAACACCTGAGATCACACCCAGTTTTCGATGGGAGTCGTGTTGCTCAGTCTTTAAATTACTTTGTTGTGTTTTGTGTACTGTTTGTCGTTTTTTTTAGTTTTTACCATGGCATTGTCAGTTTGTATTCGACTTGTGAGTTTGAATATCCCTTTGGTATCTTTTGTCTTTTTTTTTAAGACAATGATGATACAATATATCTTTGGTACAAGTATATGATACTGACTTCATTTGGCTCGTTTGATATTCTTTCTGGTAAAGTTGGTATCAAAAAATCAAATGACCTTATTCTTTTCTAATCGAAATTTTTCTTAACAATATGCTTATTTTTTAGTTTAGATAGGAAAAAAATATTTTTCGCGTACAAAACTTTGTTATAGTCGTTTGGTTGTATGAATGCATTCAAGTCGAGTGCATTTCATTGATACATTGACGCGGATGTTCATGAACGCGTGGTGTTGCTACACTTATACTTGACGTCATTGCCTAATAATTTTAGGCCTTGCGGTCATTAAACTTTCGAGCACGATTATCGTACTCAGACTGGGAAATCAAATAAACATAATACTGGATTTTGTGTTCCGAGCACAAATTTTGTACTTCGAGTAATGAATGACGTTATCGCTCCTATTGATGTTTCGCAATGTTACTAAAACAAATAACCCATTGTGTTATTAGAAGCACCGTATAATTTGAAAATGAATATCTGTATTTAAGACTCCTAAAATAAAAATTTGAGGTTTTGTAACTGTTCGATTTTCAATTTTGTGTGATTTTGGATATTCAAATATTTTGGCCTCGAGCATCACTGAAAAGACATTAATTGTCGAAATGCGCATATAGTGCATTGAAATTGGTACCGTTTATGTTATTACTACCACTGGGTTGATACCTCTGCTGGTGGACTTTTCTCTCTCCTTGGGTATCATCAGCCCATAAATTTCGGAATAAAAACAGAAAATATTGGCACTCTAGATTATAGCTGACAAAGTTTTGTAGTCACTGTGTGGTCATATTGCTGTGTGATTTATGTTATACAATAATCCTCAGATACCAGAGTAACTGGTTTATAATGCCGACATATACTATTCATTATAAAGTACGAATATGGCCAGTGGTGATTGATGCGGGTTAGCATTTTTGTAATAAAAACCGTCAAAGGATATCAAAACTAATGCTTTTTAGGATGGTTCAGTATTTTGAATGAAAAAAGAAATGTTGGCACGCTAAATTAAAGCTGTCAAAATGTTGTAGGCATTGTGTACCAATATTGCTGTCAATCTTAAAAGGCGACCTATAAATCGTCAACGTATATATATAATCACAGAATATCTACTATTAGCGCAAACGCATTAATACATAAAATTGGCTGTTCCGCGTTACGCCCACCTTATTTTTACTATCATGTTAACGAAATTGGCGAAAGTTACACCCACGTGTTACGCAGACCAGGCTTTAAATGCAATACCTTTATCTCTTTTCTTATGCAAAATAAACAAGTCAGTCCATTTCAGTTATCATTTCGGTGCAAAATTTCATAAAACGAAACGCTTTCGCTCGGGAAAAACAATCGAATATAAATGCCCAAATATGGTTAAATGAAAACATATCTACGGCTGCCATGAATCATTTCTAAATTATATTATACAATTTATTCATAGTTACTAACTTTTCTGATGTATGGTACCAGCATATACTGTTAATTATAGTGTTCAAATATGGCCCGTATAAATTGATGCGGGCACACTTTTTTTGTTAAACAAACAATCCTGAAATATCAAAATTACTGATTTTTTGTGTCAATTCAGTTTTTTAATGAAAGGAAAAAATGTTGGCACTATGTATTATAAAACTGACAAAATGTTTAGTCAACCTGTACCAATATTGCTGTCAACTTAAAATTCATCATGAGTTACCCAATTTTCTGATTTATTATACCGGCATATTATTCTTAAGCAGAGTAGAATATAATCTGGTCGAATTGAAACGGGCAAACAATTTGGTTACAAAAACCATCTTGGGATATCAAAATTACTGATTTTTTTAATGCCGGTTGAGATTTCAAAAAATAGCAAATCAATGCTATGATAACAAAATAATACTCTAAAACTGTTATCATAAAGATGCTTGATTTCTCAATTGACAACATATGTGTTACATATGTTGAACGCATCTATATCATCGAAGGATACAACAAATACTGTTAAGGCTGCCTCATATCTTGACTTCCATCTAGAAACTGACAGTGAGGGTCGATGGAGATCAAAACTTTACAACAAACGAGATGATTGCAATTTCCTTTTTGTGAAATTTTCATTTCTATATAGCAACATTCAATCATAGCCGACATATGGTGTATATAGCTCCCAATTAATACGATATTCCAGAGCATGAATTTTCTATCAATATTCCTTTAAAGGGCGTTGCTGCTTACAAGCAAGCTATTGAGCCAAAGGTTTCAAGTTGAAGTCATTGCTTGTCATTGCTTGGAAAATTTTGACAAACGACATCAAGAGTTAGTTTGACAGTTATGGAATATCTGTTTCTCAGATTACAACGGATAAGTCCCAATTATCGTAACCACAATCCTGTCCTCTTTTCTTCGACTATGACATTACCGAATTAGACTTATAACAAAGTTTATTACTTATATAAGCAGCACGACGTGTTCCATGCGTAGAGCAAGATCTGTTTAGCCATCTGGATCACCTGAGATCACTTTAGATTTTTGGTGCACGCGTAGAGCAAGATCTTTTTAGCCATCTGGAGCACCTGAGATCACTTTAGATTTTTGGTGGGGTTCATGTACCTCAGTTTTTTGTTTTTTTATGTTGTTTTGTATACTGATGTTTGTGTTCTGGTCGTTTTTCGTTTTTGTTCATGGAGTTTTTAGTTTGTCACGGTCATTAACTTATGAGTTTGAATATCCCTTTGGTATCTTCCGCCTCTCTTATCAACAGATGATTGTAATAAAGTAACACTGCTAAATATATTGTCACATTTGGCCACATTTACACAAACATTCATACATAAAAGTTTTCACAGCAGCATTATATCAATAACTACCCTAAATAGTCAAAAGCTAAACATCTTTCTAGTCTATATATCTTTCGGATCTACTTTCTTAAGATATGATTGATGTGATAAATTTCCGAAATAGAGACAAAATGTGTATAAATGAATAGCAAATGTTTGTTTTATTGCTATACAGCGCAAACGCACTAAATGTTTTGTTTTGTTATACTGGAATCAAAGTCATACACATGTGCATTTTTCAGAACACCGCAAACACCATGGTTTAACAGAACACTATTGAGATAATTTCTCCTTCTAAAAATAATTCCAGACTTAAATGTGACTAAAGCGATGTCATTTTCCATAGATTGTACATTCTATCATGTAATCCTTGATATAGGGTTGCTCAGTTATATTTCGTCTCTCTTTTGCTGCGTACAATGAAATTAAACAAAGGGTTCTGAGTGATGAAAATGAAATCATCTCTTCGACAATTTTACGGATGCTATAACGAGTTGGTTTACTATTATGAAATAGATGTTTCACGGATGACAACAAATATACTGTCGTAACCCACAATCCCGTCATGTGTGCATCAAATGGGATGAGTTTTTTCTTACATGAGCATCACAACGGGTACCACATGTGGATCAGGATCTGTTTACCCTTCCGGAGCACCAGGGATTGTCCACGGTTTTTTTTTGTGTTTCGTGTAGCTTAGTCTTAACTTTTTTATGTTGTGTTTTGTATAGTCTTGTTTGTCTTTTTGTCATTTTCGTTTTTTTGCCATGTCGTTGCCAATATGTTTGGAGATATACAATATATGTCTTAAGATATTGAGTTGAACTGCAAAGATATTTAAATGAGGGTATTATCATTATCACATCATTGGAATTGTATCGGCGGTTATTGATTTCAAAAACAGATGTAACTGGTTCTTGAATGAGTTGACAATTTTAAGTCACAAAAAAGCAGTTTGACGTCTTTAAAAATGAAGACATACGACGATACCCATATGACTTATTTCGAGATTGTCCTTATGCCAACACAAATATTTATTTTTTCTTAAAATATATGTGAATTATCATCACTCAGAATTATGAAATGAATGTTTTCAAATATATATTCTTGCAAGTGTAATATCAGTTTTAAAACCATAAAATAATACACTATAATGTTTTATCTGTGTACTGTTGACTTTTTTTTAACATCCTGTAATTTACAAATATCTCACTTCATTTGTTTTATCGGTTTTCATTATCTTCTAAAATAGTTTTTGATCAAATGTTTCAAACCATGGCAAACGTATTGTGTAATATATGAAGACATCAACTTACTATCTTTGTACCTCATTCTGTTAATTGTTTTGATTTTGTAAATGATAAAGTTTGTAGCCTCAATGTATATTCATATGTACTTAGTTTATCACTCAGAGCCAATAATTGGGTTTTTACATGTGACCTTGCAGGGCGAATTGATGTTGTAAGAAGAAATGTAAATAAATAAAAGGTGAACATGCTTGTTCTTAACGTTTGTTATTTTAGATGATGAAATGGATGGTCAATTTTTGTATTCTTGTCTTTCATTTTTGCTTATGTGCTTTGTCTATCTGCCATTTTGTTTTCTTTGTTGACATGTTTGTTTGTTTGTATAGTGATTAAGATTACAACACAAAGGTTCACTGCTGTACCCCTACTTTTGACATTTTTACCTTTTATGTCTGTTTATTTTGTTCACACATTGTTGTCAATATAATGGAATTTTATGCGACTGTCATACAAATGAGAGGTTTAGCTGGATGTAAAACCAGGTTTAATCCATCATTTTCGACATAAGGAAATGCCTGTTCCAAGTCAGGAATATGACAGTTGTTTTCCATTCGTTTGATGTGTTTGAGCTTTTGATTTTGCCATTTGATGAGGGACTTTCCGTTTTGAATTTTCCTTGGAGTTCGGTATTTTTGTTATTTTACTTTTCACGTGATTGCATTGCTTTTAAAAGTTTTCATCTTCCATAAGAAATGAATATGGTGTTATTGTTCAAACATGTATCGCCAATCATCTTTCAGTTCTATCATAGCACTAAAAACGTTTTACATATCAATGATTGCTTCAGACATCTATATTAATCAGTCGGTACATGTGTGCTGTTAAATCCTTTTCATTATGCATTCTTCTATACACTCTTAACCTCGTTAACTTGAGTTCATGTACAAAAATCAATGTTCAACCGAACTTTCAAACGTTCCAAATATATTTCATTGTATCTGCAAACAGATGGCATTATTCTATTCATTTTGAAATAACAGAATCCTTTAGGAATTAATTAAGCTCACATAATACTGTTCATGCTTGAGACATGACCGAAATGTCTTAAGACGTTAAAGTTTTTATATTGATTTTTTGCGCATGGTTGATTTCAAAATAATCATGAACTATGTAAATTTCTTGCGACATACAATAACAATACAATAAATGTCTTCCGATGTTCAGTTGAATTGATTGTAAAGATAGTTAGTTACCTGAGGATATCATATAGGAAGTAAATTGGTGGTCATTGATTTCATGAATAGATTACACTGGTTTTTCAATGAGTTTGAAAAAGATTAAGCCATAGTGTGTCATCAACAGAGTCGAAGGTATACGAGGATACTAATATGGTAAGCATAACACATACTCATATGACTGATATTGAGATTGGCCTTGTGCAAAAACAATTACAATGCATGAATTATTATCTTACTAAGACCATGAATTGTGTGTATTAACACATTTGTATTTGCACGTAAAATTGCCTTTTGAAAAACTGTACAGTGATAAATTATGAGGCTTTACCTGTGACATGTTATTTTTTTTATTATCCTATAAAATACTTACACTTTACCAAGTTGTCCTCTGGATGTGTATTATCTCCTAAAATAAATGTTCGTCAAAATGTTTGAAAACGAGGTAAATATATTTTGTAATGTCTGAAGACATTAACTTATCATATTTGCCTGTCTACTACTATTTGTGTATACAATCATAGTATTTAACAAAATCTTTAACAAACTATTGATTTTTTAAATCTTCAATTTTATTTATTGTGAAACACGAAATATTTTCTAAATACTTAGCCTTATAAACATTATGTATTTCTTGAGACATGCAAGAAATATCTTGACACTAAGTTGGTGTCTCAAGACATTCACTAATCGTGTATTTTATTTATATTTTGGAGATCAAATAGAGTATTAAATAAATAAAGGCAACAGTAGTATACCGATGTTGAATAGTCAGAATTCGATTAAGCAAAAACAAATCCGGGTAACAAAGTAAAGCAAAGGGAAAAATATCAGCTATAAGAGGAAAACAACGGAACAACAGAAACACTGAACTACAACAAAAGCAAACGCAAACATGCATAGAAACGGACTGTGTTATAACAACTGCCATATTCCTGACTGTACAGGACATTTTAAGAAAACTGGTGGGTTGAACCTGGTTTTGTGGCTAGCCAAAAATCCCGCTTATATGGCAATAAGAAAAATACAGCTAAAATGACAACACTACGTGACAGGAATACAGTACAAACAAAAGCAAGAATACTCAGCACAGAGAAAAACATAAATAAATAATTTTAATAGTACATAACAACATTTAAACCGCAGAATAACAACGGACGCCTCCCATGAATTCACAACAGCATACCAGGACACCACAAACGAAATATAAACTGCGCGTCACATGCATGGATCAACGTCACAAAACGTGATGTATTTTTTGTGACGTTTATAGTATCACATGTAAATTTTTAGAAATAAAATAGATTTGTTTAATTTTAAGACACGTACAAGCATATGAATTGGGATTGAGTTTGTAATGGTGTTATTTTAAGTATTTTTTAACCATGACAAAGAATATTAAAATGAAATTGTGTTTGTAATAGTGTTTTTATTTGTATTTTCTAACCATGTTGGTTTTTCTTCTAAATCAAAACTGTGTATAAACAAAAAAAGCCTGTGCATATAGCTGTTTTAAACTTAAAACCATATAAATGAAGTAGCTGATTTTTTATCTTAACTTTTACATTCAAATAGAGAATACAAATAGAAATAAAATAACTGTAATATAAGGCAAGATCATGTAAGACCAAACAGTAAACACACACGAAAACAAACAACATAAAACAAAAACCCTGTAGACAAACCACGAATAACTCGACTATTCTGACAAATAAGACATATGTGAAATGTACCGAAAATACAGAATTCAAACCACAATCGAAATAAACAGACAACAACTCAGCACAAATTGACCGAACGGACCCACACGTATAAGAAAGTAACAACAGCAAAATGCCCGAAAGTGGGATATGTAAATACCAAACCACGTCGTCTCCAACAGCTAACATAAAACATAACAAAATATCCAACCGGACTTACGAAAGAGGCATCAAAACTAAATACATGAATGTTGGATATACAAATGTATAAATACCAAGACACGTCGTATAGCAATGCGAATTCACACCCGGCATAACAGTCATATTCGGGAATAGGTCACGTTTGGAACTAAGCAGACCAGACGATGTAGGTGGTAAACCACAATCTAAGACGTGGTAAAAATGTCGTTATTTAGTTTAGACACAGACACATCGTATAGATCAACAAATTCGTGATGGTGTCCATAAAATTTACGGAGTGTCATTTTTAATCTTCCCTCCTCATAACTCTGTTGGAGCAGTTTCTGCCTTAGGAGCAAACTCCTGTACATGAAGTCCGTATAGCGTGAACATGCACGAGCATAACGTATCATTTGAATTATGTAAACACCATACGATGGGGCAGAGGGTATGTTACTACTGAGAAATGGCAAATTGATAATTGGGAAGTTAAAATCATTCCGTTTGTCATAGATTTTAGTCTGAAGTCGTCCATCTGTGTCAATATTGAGGAAAAGATCAAGGTATGAAGCAGTCCATCTAGTATCAGTAGTATCCTTAATTTCAAGTTCACTGGGATAAATGAAATGAAATGTGAAATGAAATTTAAATTATATTCTTTTACTTGTAGATTTTTTTAATAATAAAACATTGCAGCCTACTGTATATTCATATTTATATTTTATTTTCTCAATCAGAGCCAAGAACTGTTTTTGGTAAGACTGTCCTTGTACGATGAATCGATGTTTAAAGAAATGCCATACAAAGATATTAAGGTTTTGTATAATGTATGACTTTATTCACGTCTCTTAATTACTTTTATGGATTTTCATCTTCGTTAAAAAAAAAATGAACCTAATATTGTTGTTGATTCAATCGTTGTCTTTTTTTATCTACGAATTATATCATTACATTAAATTACATATTCATTAATGGAAGTCATTTATTTCTATTCATCCTGTGCATGTGTGCTGTTGGTTCTTTACTATATAGCTATATGATTATGTATTCGACTTTACACTTCACTATATCTCTTTAACTGGTGATCATACACAAAAACAAATATTCAAGAACATTACAAAACCTAGAAGATATATTTAGTCAAATCTCCAGACAGATGACATAATTGTTTTTATTTAGAAATAGAGAATTTCTTTATCACTGATACGTGTTCATGGTGCTCTAATATATTAAAGTATGGAGGAAATGTCTTAAAAATTTTAATTTGAGTTTATCATATACTGTAAATTCAGAAATTATTGCGTACATTTATCATTGCAATTTATGAACAATGGACAAAAAATGCAAGATCAATTATTGCGATTTCTGGAAAAGCTGTATACATGTATATGTATATGTACTGATTATCAGAATGCGAATTTTTGTTATTGTGATATTCAACCAGTCGCATTATTCGCAATAATAAAAATCTCGCAATAATTTTTGAATTTACAGTATGCATGAAAGGTTGATTTTAAACATATCTTTTTAGAAGTGCTTTTCTGGATAAACCTTTATTAGGGATTCTCAAGTTTTAAACTTTTAAAGTCAAGCATGTATTATACCAAAGCTAGTAATTATTTATATAATCAGAAAGGACATGAAAATGTTACTAGTAGCCAAATCCATCTAAAGTCAACTTTGCCTAAAGGAGTTTTTACCTTAGTTTGATAATAATTTTTAACTTTTTCAACGGAAAATTTAATAAGGGTTTGTGATAAATCATATCAATACCGAAGCACTGACTACTGAGTTGATGAAACACTTGGGGAAATAAAGTCTACCAGTAACGTTTTCGACCCACTGCTTGAAAATGAAAAGAACAATTTGGAAATTAAATGCTTCAAAATCGCTTTTTCTGGATTGAAGTCATAAAGAACCGTCAACGTCAAATATTTAATGGTGAGGAATGTGGGACTCAAACTTATGAAGAGCTATGTAATCAAAACGCAACCTAGAAATAATAGCCTAATAGCTAAGTGTTACTTTGCCTGGGGAAGTTGGAACTTACGTTTCAATATAATTTCTAACAAAATCAACGGGAATTTTCGAATGGTTTGTTATAAATCATGTCAGAATCGTATCACTGACTATTGAGCAGATGGTCGTTTTGGGGAATTGTAGTTTAACTGTAGCGGTATCAATTCAGTGCTACAAACCAAAAAATAACACTTCAAATTGTATGCTTCCGGAACGATTTTCTGGATTGACCTTCATCAGGAACGCTCAACGTCAACGTTTTAAGGATGTAAAAGACCCGAAACTTGTAAAGAGCTATATAACCAAAAAGGAACCAAAAATTTATACCCAAATATATGTACGGTCAACATTCCCTGAGGGAGTCGAACCTTAGTTTCATGATAATTTCTAAATTTATCAACGGAAAATCTAAAATAAGGTTTGTTATAAAAGAGAAGCGAATCATATCTTTACCGTCGCACTGACGTCTGAGCTGATGATACCCTCGGGAACGAATAGTCAACCAGCAGTGGTTCCGAACAAGTGTTAAAAGACAGGCGAAAGATACCAAAGGGACATTCAAACTCATAAGTTGAAAATAAACTGACAACGACATGGCTAAAAAAGAAAAAGACCAAAAGACAAACAAAGGTACACAAAACACAACATAGAAAACCAAAGACTGAGCAACACGAACCCCACCAAAAACTTGAAAATAAGACTCTAGAAATTGTTTGCGTGCAAATCGTTTTATCCGTATTAAACTTCATCACGATCGATCAAAACCCAATATTTGAAATTCAATGATGTAAAAGATCCAAAACTGGTGGAGAGTTATATGGCCAAAACGCGACCCGAAAAATGATAGCCAAATACATCTTATTGTCAACTTTCTTGATGGAATTGCAACCTTATTCATGTTAGATTTGGTCCTGTTTGGTCATAAAGATCATCAACTGTTTTGGTTTTTATAGATCCTTGGCTTTCAAATATTCGGCTTTGGGCGTTCCTGAAGAAGGTAACTCCAGAATAGCGCTGCGGACGAATGAAATTTATAACGTGTTGTTTTCCTTTTTTCACAATAATTTCTAAATTTATCAACAAATAATTTAAGAAAGGTTTGTTATAAATCATATCGGTACCGATGCACTTACAACGTATACTAAGGAGATGCTTCCCTTAAATAGTATACCAGCGGCGTATCGAAACAATGCAAGAAAATGAAAATTACCCTTTATGCATTTTATTCGTTCAAAGCGCTTTACCACAGAAGCTTTCACGCAACCAAATGAATGTTTATAAATAATTATGGACACATAACGTTCTCATGATCATTTTCTATGTAACCCACAGCTTTAACTTATTGAAACTTGAACACTAATATATCAAACTAATTTTATTTAGATTGTATTATACATGGTTATTTGATATCAGGATATTCCAATCCTTCAACAACTCTTCTTGTAAATTTATCAAGGATTACTTTGATTTTGATATCGGTTAACGCATACAAGGTTCACTGACAAGAACTAGGCTGCTAATTAGTTTTCCAATTTGCAAAGTATTTGCCTTAGACCGAAAAAGGGCATCAATTTTTTAAAGTACTAAGGATTTTCTACCTCAGAAATAGATTACCTTAGCTGTCAAAACTTTTAAGAATTTTGGGTCCTCAATGCTCTTCAACTTCGTACTGTTGTTGGCCTGTTTAACCTTTTTGATTCGAGCGTCGCTGATGAGTCTTTTGTAGAGGAAACGCGCATCTGGCGTACACAATTTCATTCCTTGCACTTTTGATGAGTTTATGTACAATATGTAAAATAAAAAACCAGAAAAGGAAATCTTTATTTCGTTAACAGATGGAAAATTGTCGCAGCCTAGTCCATATGGAACAAAGCTTCCAGAAATATACCAGAGTGTTTAAGAAGTAATGTGGCTTTGAACAAAACGATATAGCAACTTTGGGCACATGTTGTTGCTTATAGAACAAGATGATATGTGTTAAGTGTTATAGTCAGAAACGAGAATTTAGCTTTACATCAAAATGCTAAGAAATACAAAAAGATGCGTCCAAAAGTAAGTCCACATTTATTTTTACACTTTTTCATTGTGCTATGTATGGATTCCAAAAACGTTTTTGTTTCGATTATGAAAATGGCTGCCTTTCTATCGAAGTACACACATTTTTAATTTTCCTTTCAGATTTGGTTTATTCTTTCTAGTCACGTTTTATAATCATTTTAACATGAGTAGTCATACTATTTCACAACATTTTACATTACAAAAATTTTGAATTTTTCCATAAGACATCTTAACTTAATTCCGAAACCGAATCTAAACCGATAACGAAACCAAATTAAAAACCAAGGACAGTTGAGTGGGTTAAAATTCTCCTCTGTTAATGTAAGTGTGAACCCAATCAGTGTTATCATTTATATTGTTCTAAATCATATGAAAGTATCATATCGATGATTACTTGACTAATCAACTCATATGAATCATTATTTGAAACAGTGAAGATTAATTCCACCTCTACTGAATACGATGGTAAAAGTAGTATACAATTTGAGATGTAGATATGGCTAAAAATGTTATAGACATTTACCATATGGCATGTTTTCGAAAAGACTGTGCTGCACATAGCTAACTTAAAATTTGTCTAATGGGATGTTCTACATTCACTCTTCTTGTTAGGGTCTTATCGTGGACTTTGTTAGATTTGTGTTGATCACGGATTTTCAGATTTCAGAATTAGAACATTATACTTCATGGGTTACGTTATTAAATTGGGATCAGGATCAACGCAAACTGGTCAACAAGGAGACTTTAAAAGTTTCGAAAACGTAGATGAAACGAAAACTTTTTAAATCATACGCAATATTACACCAACTATATAACGATGTGTAGGACTGAACCTTCGTAGAAAAATTCTTCATGTTAAATGCACATCATTAAAAAGTATAAAGTTAAACTGACGTATTCAACTGTATATTATTGAATATGTGTATTCAGTAAGAGCTGCAAGAACCATCTTCCTTTTTATCTTTAGATTCATGTGAAGTGATGTTTCATGTTATAATCGATGTGATATCGTCAGTTTCAGAAAACAATATCTGTTTAGAGTTCATTAAAACTAAACAACACTGACATTTACACATTATAATCCGAACTCCCTCAACCATCCTTGGTTTCGATATGTGTCTCGGTTTCGATCTCGGCTTAGAAGATCTTTATTGGAATTGAAATTATTCTTTGATGTCATGGTCTATGATGCTCACTTCAACATTGGTAGGCATTATGATTGTGAAAATTTTACAATACAAAAGTTTTCGATTTCCTTATTAGAATTGAAATTATTCTTCCTGTGTTGTGCTAAAAAATGTAAACAAGACGTCAAATATTTTGAGCGTCAGAGGCGCATTTCAGGATTTATTGTCATCATATAAAATAGCAATTTACAAATGGATGTTCATTTAAGAAAATATACAGTATTAATTTTATTTTCATAATAAGCTGAATACAAAAATCAGATGTTCTGGTATGATTGCCAATGAGACAAATCTAAACCAGACACCAAATGACATAGAGGTAAGCTATAGGTTACCGTACGACCTTCAACACTGATCAAAACCTATATCGCATAACAAGCTTTAAAAGGCCTAGAAATGACAAATGATAACCAATTCAAACGAGAAAGTTAAGTAAAGGCTTGATTTATGTACAAAACAATAAAACGATAAACAAATATGATATACAGCAACACACGAGAACCACTGAATACAGGCTCCTTACTTGGGACAGGCCCATACAGAATGTGGCGGGGTTAAACATGTTATCGGGGGCCCGCTTTATCATGAATAGTGGTGCAACAGCACAATACAAATCCAAACTTTACTAAACAATAAACATAAAACAAATTTCATCAACAGCAACAAATGACAACCCCTGAATGACAGGCTCCTCACTTGGGACAGGCACATACGGACTGTATCGGGGTTAAACATGTTTACGGGCGCCCAACCCTCCCCCTTTACCTGTTATCGTAGTGTAACATAGGAATAAGCTATAAAAGTGCTTAACTCAAGAAAAGACACAAAGTACCAATGTGAGAGAACTATCCAAGGTCAAAGGAATATTTTTGACGCTCGTAAACATGTTTAACCCCACAACTTCCTAAGTCAGGAGCTTGTAATTGAGTGGTTGTTGTTTGTTGCTGTTGATTATATTTGCTTTTTCTTTATTGTTTTGTACATTCGATAAATAATGTCTCTTCAGTGATGCTAGAGGCCAAAATATTTGAAATTCAAAATAGAATACAAACGTTAAAGTCCTGATTAAACCAAACAAGAACTGAGATATAGTTAAATCTAGATTAGTAATCAGATTTTTGCATAAGAGAGAGATTTAGACCTTAATTCAAAAGGATTTCTCAAATTTGATAACAGCAAACTTCAATCAAAAGTTATCCGTATTGTCATGCCAAGACCGAAGTAAAAGCTACTAAACTGGTGGTACCCTCAGGGACATACAGTTTAATAACATAGATATCGAACCAGTCGTAGTTATAACAGAACCGGTACAAATTGTACTGCACCAGATGCGCAATATAATCGTGATTGTCTCTTCAGTAATGTTCGAGGCCTATATATTGAAACCTGCAATATCGCGTTCATGTGTATAACAAAAATAGCTACCAATAGAAATTAAATTTACTTTCGTGAATGAAAATTGTCAAATGAACGCTTGCATTTTGTGGTCTGGTTTGTCATAAATGTATGCCATTTAACAAAATTTCAAGAATACCAGGGTTATAGTTTTGTACGCCGGACGCTCGTTTCGTCTACAAAAGACTGATCATCGACGCTCGAATCAAAAAAGTTATAAGGCCAAATAAAGTACGGAGTTAAGGAAGAGCAAAATACAGATTGGACTTTACTACAATACATTCCTGACGTTCTTATGCATCTAATATAGATAACAGAGCTGTCGATTGGTATTCATACGCATTTTTTAGCAGTATCGGTCAATTTGGTACACAAGGGATGGGAATGCGTATCATTATTGTTGTTAATACAAGTTTTACTCTTTTTTATTTCTTAATTAATAATCTGTTTGATATATAAGACATGTGATTTTGACACCCTAATGCCGTTTCTTCATTTCTCAGCAATCACAAACCTTTTGCTCAATCGTATGACGTTTATATATCTCAATTGATACGTTTCGCTCGTACATGCTCACATCATACGGGCTAAATTATTAGGGGTGTGCTTCTTACACAACAACTGCTCCAACAGAGTTATGAGGAGGGACTACTAAAAAAAGAAACGAATTGTTTGCCTTGAATTGTCACTTCTAAATTGAACATAGGTTAACTACTGTCGCTTTAATTTAATTCTTTTAACCTGATGTATTTTCATGTTCTTCCATACTCCGGATAAAAACTGATTTAACAACTAAAGGGTCTTGGAATAATCTTCATTCCAGTTAAAAACTGGTTGAAAATCTAATCTGGTGTGTAGGTCCTGGAACGAGTCTTACCTGGAAGAACAGGATTTTGATATCTATTTAAAAATAAAAAATAAGTATATTCTAATTTTAGCCTTCGATCAAGTTCTTTTCTTTTTTTCTATACTTCATCAATTTGTTTAATCATATCTGTCACTTACTTCTGAATAGATATACAAAAAACTCATCAAAGGAACCAGCCTTATAATTGTGTACGCCAAGCGTATATTTAAGAAGTCCAATATTGAGATTAAAAGCTTATCTTGAAAATATATATGGTGATCTATGTTAATAACTATTACATTTGACATATATCATGTATAATAACCGTTCATAATTAATCCATTGATCGATGAACGGGTTAAATTTCTTCCAAATGTATAGATATTCATATGTTATTACTCGATCAAAAGTTAGCAAGCTTTTATTTATTTTACCGTTTAAATTAAATAAACAATCGAAATATTAATTTGAATAAGCATTTTGACTTGAGCAAGAATTGATTTTTTGAAAACTGCAAAAGCCATGACCGGAAATGGTTCAGTATAGTTGTCAAATTTATTGACCAAAATCCGCTCTTTTCTGGTTTCAGATCTTTGTTAGATAAACCATCAACTCGATTTTTAAACCGATAGCTATATTTGTGTTTTTGATATTATTATTAAGTAAAGTCATCAACATGATAATCTCGGATGAAAAAAATCAACGAATTGGTTTAAAACTGTTTGAGATTTCAGTTTCTTCAGATGAGATTTCTCTGAGTGTATCTAGATTAAAAATAAAGAGTCCTTGATATATTATTATTGGTTGAAAGTATTTTATAAAAAATGACGTGAAATGTGTTCCTAAAATCTTTCTATAAGAATCAATTTCCTATTGGAAGTGTTTGACTATATAAGGAAACGTTGCATTTTAAAGGGGCATTAGCTACGAGATATACAAAAATTAAAATATGATTTTTTTTTCAATCATTGATGAAGGTGAAATAGTGAAATAATTATTCGCTTTTAGCAGCCAGTTTGGTTGAATTTTGTCTGAATAAGTTAAGAAACGTCGCTGATGAATTATTCACTTGCAAGGGAATAATTCGACCTTATTGGATCCGTATTCATGTGACCTTCAATTTAACCCTTTAGCTAGAGATGGGTTATGTATAAACAAGGCCTGTAAAGCTATTAAAAAAAAAGAATGTCAACATTGAAGTGAAACAAGGGTAAACTATTTGGTTGACTGATTCGATCCACAAACACTCATTCTTATACAGGTAAAATTGATGATTAACCTTATAATATGAAATCAAACAGACCTAGAAAAAAACCAATTACACGTGTTCGCTATCTATCAATATCTATATTTATGTTTATATCGGGTTATGTGACCGTCAACAGTCTTCTAACCTCGATGGTTAATTAGATGGCGTCTAGACTGAAATACACACGAAATGCTAATACATATTATCGAGTCCATGCATCGTAAATTGTTTGTTTTAGACTTTTTTATAAATTTGATATACGTTTTATATTAAAGTAAAAAGATGTGGTATAATTGCCAATGATACAACATTCCACAAGAGACAAAATGACACAGAAATTAACAACTATAGGTCACTGTACGGTCTTCAACAATGAGTAAAACCGCATAGTCAGTTGTAAAAGGCCCCGAAATGACAAATGATAAAAAATTCAAACGAGAAAAATAACGACCTGATTTATGTACAAAATAATGAACGAAAAACAAATATGATATACAGCAACAAACGAGTTTGAGTCAAATCGGTGAACATGAATTTGACAGCTAATGCCCCTTTATATTACTTTTTTTTCACTTTTGACGCTCGCAGCCCAAAGTTCAAGCAAAAACAAGAGTGAACGTAGAGTATTTGAGGCTCACAGAATCAATAAAAATTAATAAAAAACAGAAATGAGTTAAAAAACATTGCTAAATAATCAATTTAAATGTTAACATCATCATTTTCGAAATGAAGTCGATTCACCCTCTGTACCAATTGAGACGATAAAATCATTTGTTGATTTGAAAAGTTTATGATCTTGTCAATGACAAGCCTTCATTCGTTCGGTGCAAGATCATACATGATTATATCAATTTCATCGTACTTCATTGGGTGTTACTAAGTTTAAATATACTGTAGAAAGATAATTAATTACGCGCCACAAATACTTTATATGTTTTGTTAAAAAAAAAACAGTAGTATACCGCTGTTCAATAGTCATAATTCGTTTAAGCAAAAACAAATCCGAGTAACAAACTAAAACCGAGGGAAACACATCAACTTTAAGAGGGAAACAACGGAACAATAGAAACACTGAATTACAACAAAAGCAAACGCCAACATACATAGAAACATACTATCTGATAACAACTGCCATATTCCTGACTTGGTACAGAACATTTTGAGAAAAAATGGTGGATAGAACCTCGTTTTATGGCTAGCCAAACCTCCCGCTTATATGGCAATGTTAAAAATACCACTAAAATGACAACACTACGTGACAGGAAAACAGTACAAACAAACACAATAATATAATAGTACATAATAGTACATTACAACATGTAAACCGCAGAAGAACAACGGACAGCACACCAGGAGACCACAAACAAAATAGAAACTGCGCGTCACATGAATGGATCAACGTCACACAAAGTGCTGTATTTTTTGTGACGTTTATATTATCACAGGTAAATTTCTAAAAATAAAATAGATTGTTTTATTTATAGACACGTACAAGAATATAAATTTGAATTGAGTTTGTAATCCTGTGCATATAGTTGCTTTAAACTTAAAATCATATAAATGAAGTAGCTGATCTTTTATCTTAACTTTTACATACATATATAAACTATACTATAACTATATTAAGCAATGTAATAAAACGGAATCAATATTTGTCTTGCAGGTGTCTCAAGAAGATAATCATAGTTGTAAACACTTATACATTTATAAGGTTGTTGTTAAAAGAAAGGATGTTTTGAGTGCTGTACAGTACCCGTCTTTGTAATCAATTATGTTTAGCAAAATAATTATACACATAAAATTGAGAATGGAAATGGGGAATGTGTCAAAGAGACAACAACCCGACCATAGAACAGACAACAGCAGAAGGTCACCAACAGGTCTTCAATGTAGCGAGAAATTCCCGCACCCGGAGGCGTCCTTCAGCTGGCCCCTAAACAAATATATATACTAGTTCAGTGATAATGAACGCCATACTAAACTCCAAATTGTACACAAGAAACTAAAATTAAAAATAATACAAGACTAACAAAGGCTAGAGGCTCCTGACTTGAGACAGGCGCAAAAATGCGGCGGGGTTAAACATGTTTATGAGATCTCAACCCTCCCCCTATACCTCTAGCCAATGTAGAAAAGTAAACGCATAACAATACGCACATTAAAATTCAGTTCAAGAGAAGTCCGAGTCTGATGTCAGAAGATGTAACCAAAGAAAATAAACAAAATGACAATAATACATAAATAACAACAGACTACTAGCAGTTAACTGACATGCCAGCTCCAGACTTCAATTAAACTGATTGAAAGATTATGTCTTCATCATATGAATATCAGGCACAATCCTTCCCGTTAGGGGTTTAGTATCATACCATCATAACATATATGAGAAGAACATAACATAGCATACCTTAAGAATAAATAACTTTATTAGGTTTTAAGGCACCGATTCACCTTTTCCGTGTGATAGATATTGCCATCCAAATGTGCTGTTATTGTAGTTGATTCTCCTTTTATTTTCATTTTTCTTTTTATCAACACGATCTGACAAGGTTCGAAAATATTGACACGATACATCAACTGGGCTCGGGTATATTTTATACACTATATTGACATTAATCCAGCCAAAGCATGATATACATTAACATGTCTTTTCGAATTATCTGTGGTTTCGAAAGTACAATCAGTCAGCTATCACATGTGATTTTTAATTTAATTTTTATTTCCTTTTAAATTTTATCGACAACCTAGTATTTCAATAAAAAAAAAAGTCGATACCAGATGATGTTACATGTCATTTTCAAAACATATGTGTTGTATTTACTGGTGTACATGTACGTGTTTATTGAACTGATATATAATTACTTAATGCGATAAAAAATAATCACTATCTAACAACAAATCTCAATCACCATATAAAGAAGCGGGACGTTATTCAGATGAAACAATTAGTAATCGGGATAGATTTTATTAATTAAGTACTACTTAGAAAAAACTGAGGTATGAGCGTTCCGGATAAACGTCAATCCAGAGAAGTGCATCGGTCGCATTACAATTATAACGTGTTATTGTCCTAGACTTACAGCCCTTGGATGGTGTAAACTTCCCAAAATAACGTGTATGGTGTAATGGTGTATGGCATATGGTGCAATGGTAGAAGGTGTATGGTGCTATGGTGTATGGTGTAAGGGGAATGGTGTAATGGTGTATGAGGAATGGTGTGATTGTGTAACGTGCGATTGGGAATGGTGTGAATGAATAGTGTACGACATTTCATTGGTTGAAACCGAAGTTCATTTTATTTTAATTTTTCGGATTGTAAACATAAACAATAATAATAATCCTATTGTTCTTTTTTCCCAGTAAAGCAAATTACTTTACTCGTTAGACTCTATGTCATATATATTTAATATACACATATTAAAAAATCTTTTTTTTTCATATTCTTATTTACATTAAACAATGGCTTTAAAATTACACACTTGTGATCACATGCAGTTATCATAAAAGAAAGGATTTTATTTAAACTAGAAGGCGGATAGAAAGGTTATCCACGCATCGGAACAGTATTTTTATATCACGGGTTATCAACATCATTTTTAAAGTTGCTTCGTTCCCCACTTTTGACAGTCTCTTTATAAATATCTTATCGTCATTCACCTATGTTTGCCTTGGATTTACGATTCTGTTTTCCAAAAAATGTTCAAAGGAAAATTGTACAGTGTTATTGCACATAAGGTGTTGTATAATTATGAACAATCTCGTCAATTTCGTTAGATTTGTCTTTACGGATTATAAATGATATCTTGAACGTCCGAAAAAATATACTTATGTGAAACGGAATGAAATATTTGCCACTTGATATTTAGCCACCAACAAAATCAACCAACCGACATAATATACTAACAGTATACTTTTCCTAGAAGAGAACTTCTCATACTTTTCATTATAAAGTACAAATGAAATCTGTCATGTCAGTCACACTGTTGGATGATGAGGTGGAATAGTTTTATTATACAAACCATCCTGAACTACTGAGTTTAAATCATCACACCTCAGCAAGCACGACTAATTTATGCGCAGACCAACCCATCACACAATAGCCCAAAAGGAATCTGTGATGTACCCGTCCATATTCAGAAGTCATGGAAGTGGGAAATACAGATACTGATACTGACTTTAGTGGCAGTTTTATATAACGAATACAGAGATGAAATGCTGGCACTCTAAATTAAAGCGGACAAGATTTTGTTATCATTGTATTGCAATGTTGCTGTCATTTGTATTATACAATCCATCCTGACATCAAAATATTGCTGATTTACTATGCGGCTGCCGCTATATAGATTTACATAATAAAGTGCAAATATGGTCAGTTTTGTTTGATACTTTAAAATAGTTTTGTTATACGAGTCAGCCTGAGGTATCAAAACTACTGAAATTTTCTTGCGAGACAATATTTTTAATAAAAAGAGGGCATGCTGGCTATCTAGATTGATGGGGACAAATTTTTGTTGTCATTGTATTGCAATGTTGCTGTCATTTGTATTATACAATCCATCCTCACATCAAAATATTGCTGATTTACTTTGCGGCTATATGCTGATTCACTATGCGGCTATATAGATTTACATACATGACATAATAAAGTGCTAATACGATCAGTTTTGGCTGATGCTTTAAAATAATTTTGTTATACAAGTCAGCCTGAGGTATCAAAACTACTAAAATTTTCATGCAAGACAATATTTTGAATAAAAAGAGGACATGCTGGCTATCTACATGTCGATTGATGGGGACAAATTTTTGTTGTCATTGTGTTGCAATGTTGCTGTCATTTAATTTGTATAATGCAATCCATTCTGACATCAAAATATTGTTGTTTACTATGCGGCTATATAGATTTACATAATAAAGTGCAAATATGGTCAGTTTTGGTTGATTTGTTTAAATAATTTTGTTATACGAGTCAGCCTGAGGCATCAAAACTACTGAAATTTTGTTGCGAGACAATATTTTGAATAAAAAGAGGACATGCTGGCTATCTAGATTGATGGGAACAAATTGTTGTTGTCATTGTATTGCAATGTTGCTGTCATTTGTATTATACAATCCATCCTGACATCAAAATATTGCTGATTTACTATGTGGCTATATAGATATACATAATAATGTGCAAATATGGTCAGTTTTTGTTGATGCGTTTAAATAATTTTGTTATACTAGTCAGCCTTAGGTATTAAAATTACTGAAATTTTGTTGCGAGACAATATTTTGAATAAAAAGAGGACATGCTGGCAATCTAAATTGATGGGGATAATTTTTGTTGTCATTGTGTTGCAATATTGCTGTCATTTGTATTATACAATCCATTCTGACAATAAAATATAGCTGCTTTACTATGTGGCTATATAGATATACATAATATTAAAAGTGCAAATATGGTCAGTTTTGGTTGATGCTTTAAAATAATTTTGTTATACAAGTCAGCCTGAGGTATCAAAACTACTGAAATTTTCTTGAGACAATATTTTGAATAAAAAGAGGACATGCTGGCTATCTAGATTGATGGGGACAAATTTTTGTTGTCATTGTATTGCAATGTTACTGTCATTTGTATTATACAATCCATCCTGACATCAAAATATTGCTGATTTACTATGCGGCTATATAGATTTACATAATAAAGTGCAAATATGGTCAGTTTTGGTTGATACTTTAAAATAGTTTTGTTATATGAGTCAGCCTGAGGTATCAAAACTACTGAAATTTTCTTGCGACACAATATTTTGAATAAAAAGAGGACATGCTGGCAATCTAGATTGATGGGGACAAATTTTTGTTGTCATTGTGTTGCAATGTTGCTGTCATTTGTATTATGCAATCCATTCTGACAACAAAATATTGCTGATTTACTATGCGGCTATATAGATTTACATAATAAAATGCAAATATGGTCAGTTTTGGTTGATTTGTTTAAATAATTTTGTTATACGAGTCAGCCTGAGGTAACAAAACTACTGAAATTTTGTTGCGTGACAATATTTTGAATAAAAAGAGGACATCCTGGCTATCTAGATTGATGGGAATACATTTTTGTTGTCATTGTATTGCAATGTTGCTGTCATTTGTATTATACAATCCATCCTGACATCAAAATATTGCTGATTTACTATGTGGCTATATAGATATACATAATAATGTGCAAATATGGTCAGTTTTTGTTGATGCGTTCAAATAATTTTGTTATACTAGTCAGCCTTAGGTATCAAAATTACTGAAATTTTGTTGCGAGACAATATTTTGAATAAAAAGAGGACATGCTGGCAATCTAAATTGATGGGGATAATTTTTGATGTCATTGTGTTGCAATGTTGCTGTCATTTGTATTATACAATCCATCCTGACATCAAAATATTGCTGATTTACTATGTGGCTATATAGATATACATAATAATGTGCAAATATGGTCAGTTTTTGTTGATGCGTTCAAATAATTTTGTTATACTAGTCAGCCTTAGGTATCAAAATTACTGAAATTTTGTTGCGAGACAATATTTTGAATAAAAAGAGGACATGCTGGCAATCTAAATTGATGGGGATAATTTTTGATGTCATTGTGTTGCAATGTTGCTGTCATTTGTATTATACAATCCATTCTGACAATAAAATATAGCTGCTTTACTATGTGGCTATATAGATATACATAATATTAAAAGTGCAAATATGGTCAGTTTTGGTTGATGCTTTAAAATAATTTTGTTATACAAGTTAGCCTGAAGTATCAAAACTACTGAAATTTTCTTACGAGACAATATTTTGAATAAAAAGAGGACATGCTGGCTATCTAGATTGATGGGGACAAATTTTTGTTGCCATTGTATTGCAATGTTGCTGTCATTTGTATTATACAATCCATCCTGACATCAAAATATTGCTGATTTACTATGCGGCTATATAGATATACATAATAAAGTGCAAATATTGTCAGTTTTTGTTGATGTTTTTTAATAATTTTGTTATACTGGTCAGCCTTAGGTATCAAAATTACTGAAAAATTGTTGCGAGACCATATTTTAATTAACAAGAGGACATGCTGGCTATCTAAATTGATGGGTATATTTTTTGTCGTCATTGTGTTGCAATGTTGCTGTCATTTGTATTATACAATCCATTCTGACATCAAAATATTGCTGATTTACTATGCGGCTATATAGATTTACATGATAAAGTGCAAATATGGTCAGTTTTAGTTGATGCTTTAAAATAATTTTGTTATACGAGTCAGCCTGAGGTTTCAAAACTACTGAAATTTTCTTGCGAGACAATATTTTGAATAAAAGAGGTCATGCTGGCTATCTAGATTGATCAGGAAAAATTTTTGTTGTCATTGTATTGCACTGTTGCTGTCATTTGTGTTATACAATCCATCCTGACAACAAGATATTGCTGATTTACTATGTGGCTTTATAGATATACATAATAAAGTGCAAATATGGTCAGTTTTTGTAGATGCGTTAAAATAATTTTGTTATACGAGTCAACCTGAGGTATCAAAACTACTGAAATTTTGTTGCGAGACAATATATTGAATAAAAAGAGGACATGTTGGCAATCTAGATTGATGGGGACAAATGTTTGTCATTGTACATGTTGTTTTGCAATGTTGCTGTCATTTGTATTATACAATCCACCCTGACATCAAAATATTGCTGATTTACTATGCGGCTATATAGATCTATATAATAAAGTGAAAATATTATGGTCAGTTTTGGTTGATGAGTTAAATAATTTTGTTATATGAGTCAGCCTGAGGTATCAAAATTACTGAAATTTTGTAGCGAGACAATATTTTTAATAAAAGGAGGGCAAAAATATTTCCAAATTTTTTAACCCTATATAAATTAACAGATTGTGAAGAAGTGCAAATATGGTCAGTTTTGGTTGATGCTTAAAATAATTTTGTTGTACATGTTGTACATGTACCAGTCATCCTGAAGTATTCATTTTTGGCATTGTTTGTCGATTTTATCTGAAAACCAAGTTTATAAGATTTACGATACATGTTAAAACCGATAATAATAGCATTGTAACCAATATCGTTTTTAATTTATAGATAGGCAGATCGCGGATAAATTTGCATTACAAGCGTACTTTATTTACAAATACATGTATATATATTTAATCTGTATTGTTTATATAACCATCATAGGCATGACCACGGAGATTTTAATTTTATACATTAATTTACAATATTGTGATCAAAATTCGTTTTTTAAATCAAATAAATAATTTTGTAGTCGCACGCTTTCTTTGAAATTTAATTGCTTTATGGATTATTTCGGATCGTGTAGATAGAATGGGGAATGGTGTATGGTGTAATGTGTAAGGTGTATGGTGCAAAGGTGTAACGTGTATGGTGTAATGGCACAAGGTGTATGGTGTAATGGTGTATGGTGAATGGTGTAATGGTGTATGGTGTGAGTGGGAAGTTTACACCATCCAAGGACTGTATACGCAGGAGGGGTTAACTTATTTGTACTTTTACATACTGTTAATTCAGAAATTATTGCGGCATTTTTTATTGCGATCTTAAAATGACAGACCAAAATGTATGAATAATTATTGTAACTCAGGAAAAGCTGCATACAAATGTATGTTAGAATCAGAATGATGCGAATTGCTATTTTTGCAATACTCAACAAGTCGCATTATTTGCAATAATAAAAACCTCTCAATGATTTCTGAATTAACAGTAATACAAATATATTTAAATATATATTGGAAACAATTTGCTTCATTCGAGTTATAAAATAACAAATCAGTAATCATGGTAATGAATGAGCAAAACTGGTGCAAACCGATATAATTCGGTTGATGCAATGATTGAATAACCATGTTAAAATTTATAATTCATTATTGAAACACATTGACCATAATGCAACCAATATGATAATTCCCTTCTTGAAACATTCAATCAAGTGAGAAAATATTAAAACGGATATATCTCTGATCAAATAGATGACAAAAGTTGGGTATAAGACCCAATGTATTTATTACATACTGGGCATCTAAATATTTCCATTATTCAAACATTGATATTGTTGTTCATTTAAATGAAGTCTTTCAGACAAACGATGGTTAAGTTTTCAATAAAATCTGATTGACTGATGGGAAATTTCGAAATTCCAAAAATCTTTATTACCTAAACTATAAATGTGGCAACGGAAATATATGCATCGGACAATTTGGTTAATCTATATAAGTGTTGCAGATCATGTGCATAAAGAAGGTAGTGAATGGAAAGATAGTTACTTAACTTCAAAATTTATTAGTATTCAGCTGTAATCCGTTACATTCAGTTAAAACGAAAAATTGAGGATTTGTACGAATGCTTTAGTTTAATATTCAGTTGCAGAAGACCACAGTTATTACTGGCCATAAGCCATGTGCATATATAGATGTCTTGATTATATGTCAAAGAAACAGCAAACGACTTTTAGGTCCATGTGCAATCTCTAACAATGGACTATTGATATTCATCAAGTCCGAATGCAAATGACGAGTTCAACTTGAGTAAACAATCTGAAAAAGTGGAAAATTAATTAAGTCTGTATATATCTTTTACCTTGTCTTTGTTAATTTATCCAAAAGGGACATATAAAAAATACCACAAATTTCTGCAATTGAATAACCATGACTTTCTTATGCAGGTGTTATAGATTACAAACACATGTTAGGTCAAATCAATATTCATAATACCGTATCGAAGAAAACTAACAGTTTCTAAAAGTATCAGCCTGCTGATATTCATCATGCTGGATTCTAAAACCGCTACTTGTACTTCAGAGTTGATTTTATATAAAATCCAGAAACAGCATAGAAAGATACGATCATCAGGAGTATAAAGAGACACATCTAAAGACATGATGAACTGGAATATGCCTTATTGTCATTAAAGAATTGTTAAAAAAAAAAATGATATTAAAAGAAAGAAGAAATTGGAGGTGAGTGTTACAGTGACATTTGGCCTTGGATTGACCAAAATTACAAAGACAACATGTTATTTACAATAATCTTTTACAGGTATGAATAAGGAGAGATGTTGGCTGGCTATATGTCATAATTGCTTAATGTTGGTTTAGAGGGGGTTAAACATAAATAGGGTGATATATTACAATGTCTAATGAAAAAACTATCCAGTTGAAGACAAGAATCTATGCAACTATTAAGCACTGTACAGTCTTAAACAATGAGCAAAACACATGTCGTAAAGTAAGATATGACAACATGATAAAAAAATTATAAGCCAAAATCATCGGCCTAATAAATGCAAAAAGCAAAAAACAAAGGGCAGACAGCAATCAAATGCAACCACTATTTTTTTTACATACGAAAGAGACATAAAAATGTGACGAAGTTAAAATGTACCGATCGTTCGACACCCTCATAGGCAGTCAAGGTCGTTAAACAACCCCTTTAGTAGTTAAAATGTGTGTAAGTGTAGAGACCCGTACAAAAAAACAAAAATGCATAGTACCGTTCAATGAGATTACGTGTCTTTCTGACATGCATCCATAACAAGTTGGATTCATTCCAGTGCGCAGATTACATTTCAGTAGTAGTGCTATTTAAAACAATGTCGTTTCAATTTTTGTTCTTTATATTGACAACCTTTCATGTTATAAGTTTTAAAAAAAAATTTTATTCATGGAAAACATTTCGAAACAGGATATAACTTATCGTACAAGTACAGATTGTGTAGAGAAAGACCAAATAATTGTCCAGTTCTGAGGAATAATGCAGCAGGCATGTAGGGCCGACGCCCATTATTTCTAATGAATGAATAGTTATTTGGAAACAAAGGGGCGGACGATACCAAGCGTACATTCAAAACTCATGAGTGGAAATAAGTGGAAGAAAACTGACAACGCCATGGCAATAAATAAAACAAAAAACGACGAAAATACGAACAAATTTCAGAGAAAACTGAAGGTAACGCAACATAAATCACACCAAAAATCGCGGGTGAAGTCAGGTGCTCCAGAAGGGTAAGCATTTTTTTGCTCCACATGTGGCAACCGTCGTGTTGCTCATGCAAGTACAAATTTGGAGATAAGTCTCATTTGGTGATGTCACAATCGCGAAAAAGAAGACGGTATTGTGGTTATGACAATTTTTACATATCCGTGGTCAATTGTAACGCAGATATTCCAGAACGGTCAACTAACTCGCGACCTCATCATTAAAACTTTCGAACGGATGGTTTCAACTTCACGACATGGACTTTAGCAAACTTTAAATACACCTCAAATATTGAAATTAATCTCCATAGTCAAAAATTTTGAATATTTATATTTTAAGTGGTTTTCCTTTCATTTTCCCGTGTTGTAGCAAATAATTTGCAGTCAGAATTCTTAGATCAAACTGACCATTTATTAACTAAACAGAATTTTTATGAAAATAAGTATAGATATTATAAAAAGATTTTCAATAAAATTCATCCAGATTTATTGGAGAAGCACGTCGTGTAGCGAGAATGAAAGGATTTTGTTTGGTGTTTTAGAAAAACAAACCTAAATATTAATGTGTATATGTATATGTTGATGGATTATGTGTTTTTTTGTTTGATAAAGACTGGATGCAAAATAATCTAAGACTGAAGACTAGGATAATCTTCCAGGTATGTTACACTGTAGTCTAGGTTATTTATATAATTAACTAATAAGAATGTGCTCGATTGTTTGTACTTTCGCAAACAAAATATCCTTCCATATATCAAAGCCTATTATCGGATGAATTAAAATAAAGCAGCAAAATAAGTGTTTGATGCATATTCCCACATTTTGTTTTGCTTTTCTGATATCAACAAACTTAAATCTTATATCATTTACTAAGAATCAATAGAGAAAATGATTCAAATAATAATGAAACAAAAAATATCCGTTGAATATTTTTTCTCTCAATTTTCTTGTAATTACGAAGAAAAAAATTCAAGGATAACTTCTTCATGTACATTGAGTATTTTACACTGTACATATTACAAAAAAGTTCATGAAATTGATGATATTACGCGTTTCTGTTAAAAAAAATGAAGATAAAACGCGCTCAATCTATAACAGTTATCTTATTCTAATTGTATCTACAACACCAAAAGTATATCCCTTAGGACTGTGTCTAGATTAATAACAATCCTTATATTTGAAAAAAATATAATCCGAATGCTTAAATTGATAACAGTTACAATATTTAAATTAATAATCAGCCAAATATTTAAATTAGAGCAAATATGCAATTTCGACCATTTCAGTTTCTTGAACTATTTGTTCCTCACACAATATTATTGATGAAAATAGCAAGTACGCTAAAAAATATTGTTGAGTATCTATTTTTTTTCTTTATTTTTAAACCCCCAAGGGTGACTGAGGGAATATAATTATTGTCAGTTAGATCTTCATCTGACCGGCAGTAAAACCCTTGTCAAAGTAGGGCGTCCGTTTGGCTGAGCGGGATATACAAGTACGCTGCCAAGTCCGGTCAGAATTGGAATTTTAAATCCGATGCCTCCTGTAATGAGAGAGCCACGCTTTCTGCATGTTAAGAACTCTTGCAACAACTATTTGAGGGGGCTGTATCTGGCCTGTTGCAAGGCAAACTTTTTCCTATCCAATATAACCTCATTTTCCAGTGGCAGTTTTAAATTCCCCGACCATGATCCCGGACGGGCTCTATTACAGGACCTACCTTTTGTATTTATTACTAATTTGTTCTCGTCCTGAACATGCTTAAAATATTTCTCTCTTAATATAGCAAACAATTAGAAAATCAGGCTAGGGAGTTTTGTGTAAAATTGATATAAAAAGTTGCTACGCAAAAACTTGCATATCGACTTCAATTTATTTTTCTAATAGATCTACACCTGATAAGAGCATGTCAATTAACCGCATATGTTTACAGCTATATTAGTGAAATTCAGAAAGAAAAAATTCATTGACATGCAGCAAAGAGTAACAATATTGAAATTAAGTAACATGGGGATTTAAACGGATGCACATATTTGATGCAAATACAACGAGATGACCGCACACACATGTACAGAATTTCGAGAGACCTATTTTATTTTTTTTAAATATTTTTCCTTGATTTTTTAACCAGAACAGACACAACTTTTAAATCTTTATATTTAGGCAGATGATATTTTATATTGCATGTTCACTTAACATTGAGCAGATCAGTGTACTCGAAAACTTTAATGTAGAAAAAAGGGTAAATTTGGGGAATTATTGCATGCTTAGGACTATGTGAAACACTCCGAACATTGGATACTAGAAAGGGTTTTTTGTTATTGATATGAAACAAATAATATATTTTAAGCAAGCTTCTAATGCAATCATCTTGATTAATAGCGAAAATAAGACATTATGTATTTGTATGTCTATCATGTATACTTCAAATAACAGAAAACTAATAGATAAATTTTCATTGCCAACTTCACAAATTATACATACTGGTCTTGAGTTATAGATTCTAGGTGCTGACGTTGTGTGTCATCATCTTAACTTTGCTGTTTTCCCTTTATTTCTATGTGTACTTTTATGCTACTTTTGGTCGTATGACTCTTGGCGTGGCACGGTATTTTGTCAATCTAGCTTTCAGGTTTTTTGGCTTTGGGCGTTCCGAGTGCGGTTGGTTCCAGCATTTCAATTTAGACGCATGAAAGTTTTACAATGTTTTTTTTTTATTTTGTACACTCATTGTATTTATATTTTACTTAATTTGTACTTTATCGGGAAAGTGTGTATATGTCATTATGTTTTACTATAATGTACTATTATCTACAAAAAATTTTTTCTTGGCGTCTTTCTTGGAGTGTGCTCCTTACGCAGAAACTGATCCAACAAAGTTATGAGGAGGAAAGATTGAAAATGACACTTCGTAAATGTTATGGACACCATCACGAATTGGTTGATACATACGATGTGTCTTTGTCCAAACTAACTAAGGACATTTTTACCACGTCTTAGATTGTGGCTTGACATTACGTCGTCTGATCTTTTAAGTACCGAACGTGACCTATTCCCGATTGTGACTATTTTGCTGAGTGTGAATTCGCATTGCTATAAGACGTGTCACGGTATTTTGCTATCCAAAATTCATGTATTCAGTTTTGATGTTATATTTGTTATTGTCAAATGTCTTATCGCTTGTAGTTGTTATTCTTACTTTTTTCTGTTCTTTTCGTGTGTGAGGGTTAAGATAATTTATCACCCAGTTCATTTATAAGATTTTAGTTTGGGTCAACTAAAATTACACTATGTATTTGGTTTTCAGTTTGATTTAGAAGAAATACCGACATAGCTAGATAATATAATTAATTATTAATTACTAAGTTAAACACACTTTTATATTAATAAGTATTGTAATTTTCATTGTTATTAAATACATGTAATATCAGTATTACAAACCTTATCTTGAACTCTATCCTATTTTTTTGAAATTTTTAGAAATTTACCTGTGACGTCACTTTTGTGTGTCGATCTATTCGGCTGACATACAATGCGTTGTTCGGCTGTGCTGTTTTTATGTGCTGATCTAGGTAGTTTTACATATTCGTTTTTCTTCTGTAGTTAGTCTCCACTTCAATGTTGACATGTATATCGATTGTATGGTCATTTTTTATATTTTATAAATTTGCTGTTTGCAAAAGTGTGAATTATTCTAATACTAAATATTTTTTTATCCTAGGCAGATAGCCTAGCCGTGTTTGGCACAACTTTTTGGAATTTTGGGTCATCAATGCTCTTCATCTTTAGGCCAGGCGCCTTTGATGACTATTAGCTTGTCGTAATGTTCTATTGTATTGTTTATTTGTGTGTTTCTCTGTCCTGTATGTTCTTCCATTTACTTGTATTGTAGTCCTGTCATGTAATGTTGTGATTTTAGTGTTATATTTAACATTGCCATTAAAGCGGAAGGTTTGGTTAGCCACAAAACCAGGTTCAACCCACCATTTTTTCTTAAAATGTCCTGTACCAAGTCAGGAAAATGGCTATTGTTATCTTATAGTTCGTTTCTGTGTGTGTCGCATTTTAGTGTTCCTGTTGTGTCTTTGTTCTCCTCTTTTATTTGATTTGTTTCCCTCAGTTTTAGTTTGTAACTCGGATTTGTTTTTTCTTAATCGATTTATGAATTCCGAACAGCGGTATTGTTGCCTTTATTTAGATTTATTTGTATGTTTGTTTGAAGGTTTTAAGTCAGTCGAGTAGTCCATGTAAGCATGTGTTTACATAATTTTGGCTGCTTGATCCCAATGATTGTCACGTTGACCATTTATTTTTGTTTGTGTTGTTCTCACGACTTTATTAATATACATGTGTTAAGAAACTATAAACAACAAGTGTTTTTTTAGCAGGCTATAAAGCCAGGTTTAACCTTCCATTTTCTTCGGTAAATGGTTGTGCCAAGTCAGAAATATGACAGTTATTTTCAAGTCGATCCTTTGGTTGATATGGTCGAGTTATACGTGTTATAGGATTTGTCAGGTTTTATGAATTTCTTCCTTTTTGAATCTTTCATTGAGTTCGGTATTTTTGTTAATACATTTTTTCTTTAAACCGTACAACGGTGGTTTATAAATAACTGTTTGCCATGGCATTGTCAGTTGCTTTTTTCGTATATATCTTCTCAATCAGTATGGTAACCTTCAACAACAAACTTTTGATTTTGTCGACTTTTTAAAGACTCCCTTTTTCTATTGCCCTTACTTTATCACTATTGTAGAGTGCATTGTTGAAAGCGGATGTGGTTGTTGAATACCACCTCAAAATCCAGTTTAGCCAATTTTTGACTAAAAGACGAACATGACTAAATAATTTAGTGTTCAGACTTTTAACTTACCGTTCAAGACTTAAATCCATTCCCTATTTTATAAAATCATATATTTTTATTTTGTAAATATATTATTTTATCAGGTTCTTAACATAATATATGACGTGCGTAAGAAAAAAAAAAGTATAACAAAAATACAGAAATCCAAGGCAAATTCAGAACGAAGTCCATAAAAACTGACAAAATCAAATGCTATCAATCAACGGAAACAAATGAAAAACAACTGCCATATTCCTGACTTGGTGTAGGCATTTTCGCAGAAAATGGTGGGTTAAACCTGGTTTTATAGCTAGCTAAACCTCACTATTGTATGACAGTTGTTTATAGTTCCGTTATATTAACAAAATTGGGGTGAGCAACCTAAACAGGCATAATAGGTTAATATGACAATAATTGGTATTCAGCAGCCAAAACTGTGTAAACATACATCACGGACAAACAGCACAACTGACATACAAACATTCAATTAAATTTTACATAACTGGATTTGTAAGGGAGAAATAAGATAAAACTATCAAGATTCTCACCACAAGTAAAACACCTCTCAAATGAAATCTGAGACGCTTAAAAAATAACTGGAAAATATCCTTATTTATATATTTATATTTTGAACTGCTTACATCAATTCTACACTAATTTAGTGTTTTGGCTGTTATGTATTGATATCTGTATTGTGGTAAGCTGTTAAAAGCATGACATTCAACATCCACAAATTCCAATCTATCAAATGCCATTAATATAATGATTATTTATTTATGCAAGAATAATAATACTCTATGAGTTATGTGCCCTTATTTATATAATTATATTTGGAACTGCTTACATCTGTTTTGAAAGTAGCCTTGAATAACAATGGTAGAATACATTTAACGAAAAAAGAAGAAAAGTGAAGCAATTCACAAATTAAACGACTTCAGATCTGATATCATGCATCAATCAATCAACTTTTGGATCAATTAAAATCCAGGAATGTTTACATTCATAAACAAAAAACACTCTGAGCTTTATGAAAAAAGTGGACATAAACAGAATATCCAAATGTTAATGAAGGAACAGGAACCTTAAGCTTAGATTCTTAATTTATCAACAATGAATTATCGAAAAATATGTTATAAATCATTACAATTCCAAAACAATGACTTCTGAGCTGATCATACCTTAAGTGACCAACAGTCCTCTTGCAGCGGTACAAGCCTATTTTTAAATTATTTGTATATGTATATAGCATATAATTTGGTTTATAATTGCATTTTATTATTCAGTTGATGATGTCTTCACTTAATGATCTATAATGATTTTCGGGTGTTTGTTTTTGTTTCTGTGTCTCGTCAGGAATTTATAGCTTAGTGGTCAGATCACAGCCGTAAAAATAATTACTATTGAAAACCGTTTTCAAAGATAACGCACAGTCTTCTTGTTTTCGTTTAGTTTGTTAGCGATCTGTCTTTCCAAAAATGATTCTTCATATTTTTGCACTGGGATTTAACATAACAATCTTTTTTTACAACAAATGTATATATATATCTGAAGTTTATTTTTTAACATTCTAATTGTTTTACGGAAAACTATACTCAATGGCTCTCCGAGAAATAGGATATTTCCCATATACAATTGCAAGCAGCAGACAAGAAAATGACTGTTCATCTTGGTCAGTGCAAGAATTCAAGGAAGACCTTAATAATACTGGAATTAACATCATTTCAACATTAAGTAAAACAGTGTTACAACAAATTTATTTGGATAATCTCATATCAATCACCGAACCTTAAGAATTATCGAATGAAGACCAGGAAGGCTCGCCAAATTTACAAAATATGACCAGTTATTTGCCTAATGAACTACCACATCTTATCGGAAATCTAACAGAAGTTGTAAGGCCACACCAAATTATTTTCTAGTTCTTCGGACACTTTCGGTAAAAAAGGGTAGCGAGAGAGCGAAATTTTTTTATTTGTTTTTTTTTTACCAATTTTTTTTTTTGCAGACGAAGGTATTTTTTACTAGCGAGCGATTTTATTTTTGAAATATAAAAAAAATAAAATCTATGAAAAGCATTTAATGCAAGCGAGCCATGAAACATTTACACAGTTTTGGTGCTTCATGTTTTTTTACGTCTCATATCCTACTTTGTTTCTTAGTATGTTCTCAGACACCCTGTTGAATCTTTATACAACATTTCTAGTACAACTGCATTGAACAGGTACACATCCATGTTTGATGACAGTTATCATTGGTGCGTTATAAAAATAAGGAGAGGTAATATGATTGCCAATGAAACAACTCTCCACCCAAGTTCAAATGAAATTGGCATTTACAATTATAGGCAACCATACAGCCTTCAACAATGAGAAAACCCATACCATATAGTCTGCTATAAAAGGCCCCTAAATGAAAAACATGAAACAAT